AAATATTTATCATTCTAACAATATGCTCTAAATATTATGCAATTATAGACTCCCAAAATGTGTAAAAACATGCACTATAAAAATTAGATTTTTATAATGCATGAACCGTGTTCGGTGGACATACTTCAATATGCATATGTTTAAATATAATAGAAATAATATTATTACATAACTATCCTAGCCCTAATTATCAACAATATCTTATATTGATCATTTTCTGCACTTTATGATCTTAATAACAGCAAAATGTGGTTTAGATTTTCTGCATCCAAAGATAAGTTCAACGTTAACATATATTATATTGTGAAAATCGAAGGAATGTTGCTAGCCTGTCTAGGCAATGCCGATCCTTATTTTCTATTATATCGCGTTCATCGCATTCTATACAAAGCCATTCAACTGAAGACTAAATTGAATTTAGAAAGAAATCTATGACTTAAATTTGAAGATGTAGGACAGAACCGAAAATAAATTTGAACGAGTCGAACCCTTGCGATCACATCGAACAACTAAAGGAAGAGCAGTAGAAAAGTTATAAAAGTTCTACGTATTTACTCAATGGAAGAAAACATTGTTTCAGGTTGTTCAGTATTTATTCTCGAAGACTAATAAAACATGGTATAAACAAATTATGAAACAATACAGTAAGTATTAACTGTGAACCCAGAGAACATGACTCTGAAAACATAATTGAAATGGTTTATATTTACCAAGATTTGCACATGTATGTTTTAGGAAACTATGGTAAAGAAATCTTCCTGTCCTTCTTCACTAAAAAACTGAATGCACCACGTGTAATAACAGAATTATTTCAGGGAATAAGATACATTTGTCAGACGATATAATCAATAATCTTTAAATTTAAAAACTCTCTTCAAACTTCAAGAAGCTCGCCGTTTTTTCTTCGATAACAATAACGTTACACTCAAAGTGAGTATATATACGTGCAATGGCCAAAAACCTGACTGACATATGTTGATGAAGCTGCGAAATATAGCGTAGATCAATTAAAAGAGCATTAGCAGAAACTGCAACGAACGTCCCCTTTTGTGTTCTCATCATACTAGAGTTCTGGAAAAAAGCGGCACGTAATTTACAAAGATTATTACTTTGCCGAATGAATCAATGTGTATTGAAGATATTGCCATGGTTATCTCTGGACGAAAATAAACGCTCTCCGTACGAATTGTACGCTTGGTGCTTATGCAAGCCTCTTTTCTGTCGCGTTTTGGAGACTGAGGTCAGAAATGTGCTGGTAATTATTTGCCAACTGACACAAACTGACACTGCGCCCCATACGCGTATTGCTTAGCTCCTCGACACGATCGCTACAAAAACGGTCGCAGCTCCTCTGAATTTCAAACAATGCCAGCTCGTCGCGACTGATGTGGAAAAAATTGGATTCGGGGAAATCTGACACGAATAAATCTTTCGTCGCAGCCGCCCAGCAGGTGGCGACGAGGAGGAGGAGGTGACTTTTCGAACCCGTTGAAGGAGTTGATAATCGACTTCAAAGAGCTTTGTACAAAAAATAGCATTTGGGCAATTGTGAAGGAATTCGCGCGGGTTTTTGAGCAAGATTAGACTCCGCGTCGGGAAGTTTGAAATGTATGATCTTTTCTTCTAAAATGCCTTCAAAGAGCAGCAAAACTGAGTTGTTCGAAGCGTAGCGTCAAATTTGAAATAACTTGAAGGTCCATGCATCAACATATAGAAAAAAATCATTGGTTATAATTACATGTTTTAAATGTTTACAACAGAATTTGCTTCTGTAGTCCACTACAACATATTGTACAGATCTAGGTAATTATGAAAGCTTTCAATTTTATTTTCAGAAACGTACTTAATCCTGTATTCACAGGAAATAGCGATTATATTGTTCCAGAATTTATAAACCTCTCTCATTTAATAAAGCTTGGTGAATTAGAACTGCACGAGAGGAAACGGCATTTGAAATGTTTTCTATACGGTGCTCATGTAGTGCACTTTTCTTCTTTTTTGGTGCGATGTAATGGTAAGGGTTCAGTAAGTTATAAATCGTACGTACAGAAACGTTCTTAATCCTGTATTCACAGGAAATAGCGATTATATTGTTCCAGAAATTATAAACCTCTCTCATTTCATAAATTTTGGTGAATAAGAACTGAACGAGGAAACGGCATTTGAAATGTTTTCTACACGGTGCTCATGTATTGCACTTTTCTTCTTCTTTGGTGCGATGTAATGGCAAGGGTTCAGTAAGTTATAAATCGTTGCTCTTGAAGGCGTGTGCTACAGCGAGCGCGCGTGTCCGCAGCGGACAACTGGCCGCAGATCCTGGACGACAGCGAGGCGCGCGCGGACTGGGGCTGGCGGCCGGAGGTGCCCGACGTGCAGAGCCTGGTGCAGCGCATGGTGCACGACGTGCGCGCCGCCGGCCTGGCGCACGACGCGTGACCGCCGCGCGGAGACCAGAGCACGCCAGTGCTGTCGCTTCCCAACGTCAGTGCAGTGTTATCGAGAGGCCCCGCACACTTTTCAGCACTCCTGCATGGTTCAGTATTTACATTCGCCGTCGTTTAATCGAAAATGTTGCTTTGCCGTGCGCGTACCGCAAAGAAGTCATGGACATTAAACAATGGGGTAATGTAAAGTAAAGAAATCGCTGGGGTGACATGAATCAACGTGGCTCACATCTCACTTATTGAGAATGATTCCAAGAGTATATAATTGTAAGTTTTCTTGAATTCATACTAAAAAAATGTACGCAACTCGTACAAAAGTGTCTTTGACGCATTAATTTCAAATCGGAACTTGGTTCCTATCGTCGCCGCGTCAGTCAACATTTCCTCCATACGCCAAAGTCTCACTTTCTGAACTAAACATTCTTCCTTGTTTACCCACTAGTATGAAGAAAATTTATGTAATGCTGCAGAAAAAGGTGCTTATATTTGACAGATAAATACGTCACATACAGTTCTTAACTTTTCTTTGACTAAATAAATCAAACGAAATCATAGATGTTAATGGGTTCTTCACACCAAAAAAAGTGGTTTAGCACAGAATGTTAGTCTGTCCGTTTTTAACGATTTTAATTCTTTTCGTTTTATTTTGCTCAAAGAGAGCAAAGTTCGTTTTTACTTACACTCGTTCTACGAGCATTTATAGAAAAAAATCGGAATAAATTTCGATAATAGCATAAATTTTTTGGGGTGTCTAGGTTTGGTGATTCTTTGTAGAACAATGCTCGTACGTCTATCTTCTTAACGAGGCTGCACTGGCGTTGGCAAATCCCTTCCTCTTTGATTAATGTGCTGAATTATTTTGAAATGACCAAGTCCCTATGTGATATTAAAATGGTCAAGTGCTACTTGTTTGTGAACAATGGTTTTGAAAAATGATAAGACCGTCTCCGCCGCCACCACCACTGTCTTCCTCACCAACATTGCTACCTCTCAGACGCCTCATTCCCAATGGGCACAGATGAAGGGGAAAGAAAGTTAAATGGCAGTCAGTTTTGGCATTGTATCTCCGCGGGCTGTGACAACCATTTCAAGGGAAATCGTCTCATTACTTGGGGCGAAATTTTATGATTCACAATTTCTAATCTCATTTTTTTTTCAATTTCATCAATTAATTTCTAATTTTTTACTTAACCTTTTAAAGTGATATAAACACATTAGTATTCAGGTTAAAACCAATTTTATTTAGCACATAAATGCATATGTTAATATTTTAATAATATATTACCTTACTTAAGAAAAATGTAAAAGATACGATTATTTGGCCTACTTCATTAAAATTATCATTTTAAAATTAGAAATATATATAAATAGCAGTTTTTAAATGAAATATTTGAAGTTATTTTAATACACTTTCTTGGAAGACAACTTTAAGGATTTTTGAAAACAATTTTTTTTCATTACTGCAATCAAGAGCATCGGATGTGATATGTGAAATTCTCTCAAGAAACCTAATACACGTGTGCACTTATTTTTTCATAGCGCTTTAACACTTCTTTAAATATACGCTCCTCTCTTGTCCTGTGAAATTAAAACTTTCCCCAAATTCACAACCATGAGTGAAGTATGTTGCTGTTGTAGTAGGTATAATTTTGTCTGTGTGATTTCTAAATTGGTTCCACTCGATCTATCAAAAAAATAAAATTATTCTGTAACAAAACAATAACTCTGGTATATGAATTAAAATAAATTATTCACATAATACATTTACGTTTTTCTTTCGTGTTCCAAATATCGCATTACTTTGTAACAAATATCGCATTTGTAACAAAGCCACTTGCCTTCGATCAAATGGCTTCCCCATTAAATGTAAGGTAACATGATTGCGAGGTAAATTTTATGTTCCTGAATCAATCTAATATTAACACTAGACTGTAGTAGGATATTGAGTTAATTATATCATGTTATCTAGTGAAGATGTCATTGTTTAACACTGATACATTTTATTTAATAACTCCATAAGAAGTTAAAATAAGATTGATGAAGTGTTGAAGTTGCTTCCAAAGTCTCCGAAGGCGAAAGGGTCACTTGAATACTTTGTCATTCCGTGTCGAGTGGTCTATGGGTCCCCGAGCGACCTCATCGAATTTTGATGGAATTTTGTATTCAGAGTTCAACATGGTTCAAAGAAACTTTTGTTAACTTTTGGCTTCGTAGAAGAAATAGTTTTTGAGATAGCGGTTTGTTCGACTCCACGCTCCGTCATAGTGCCACAACGAAATTTTCGCTACTTCGAGTTATAATATTTCATTCTCCGCGATTGCTAAACAAATGAACTTGAGATTTGTACAATTGTATACGCTATATTCAATGGAACAAATATCAATTTCGCCTTTATGAAAACACAGTGGTAACATGGCGGCAAAGTCTCACAAAAAAGTGTTTTAAAAAATCCAGACAATGACATTGAATAACAATATTTGTGTATAAAACAAACTTTGTTAAAAGTACATTACATTGTTTCTGGAAGTGTAATTTCAAACCCCCAGCAATTACCACTTCTTAATAATTTAACTTTTAAATTGTTAATTTCGGCTAAAATCCCCAAAATGGGGTGTTTTCACACTCGTTTTGCAGAAAAGGGCAGTCTAGAAATTCTTTCAAACCTATCTCATGAAAAAGAAAAGATTTTGAAGCTTTTAAAAAACTTGATTTGATTATCCATCGGAGGCATACAATCTCTAAATTATGGTAAATAGAGCAGCAATGTGGAAGTAAAAATAAGGATTCAATAAATATGCCAGAGTTTATTGTAGTATAGTTTACTCAATATACAAGACACTGTTTCTGAGTGCATAATTTCAACCATCTATCACTTACCATAACTGAAAACCTTACGTATACAGTTAACGCTTTTTATCGGACACATGCGCCTTTTACCCTTGTTAACATGCAACCCTATAAGTTTGTTAAGTGCACTTGTACCTACCTGTAGGTTAAGAAATCCTTAGCTACAGGTTTTAACGTCCTTAGCAACGTAAATAAACAACCATCGATTCATCGCAAGTCAAAAGTTTATTAGAAAACTGGCGTTGCTTTGTACGAATCTGATTCATACAATTCAGAATAAAAGTAACTCATATTAGTTTTGGGGGTTCTCATTGTTAATTGTAATATTAATAGTGTAATTAAAATGTGTATTAAGTTAATTAACCCCATTTTCCTGGTATTTCAACAAACGAAACTCTCTTACGGTTGTCATATTTACTAAAGATCTGAAGGTGACTGCAGTGGATGTCGACACGCAAACTTCCGCATCGAATGTCATTTATTTATGTATCTTTAGATTCAGGATAACTATTTGCATCCATCTTTTCTCAAATCAAGGTATACGAATGTTGTTTAAATAGTTATATCACAAGCAACACCCCATCATATAGTAGTAACGTGCAGCAGCAACATAATTAATTTCTTTACTATTGCAATAATGTAAAATTTCGCACAAAGTCGTGAGATTTTATGGTGACCGATAAAATGCTGAACACACCACGAAATGTTACAGTGTTATTACTGCTTCAGCTCCGCTAGGCCCCGCCTCGATTTTTAACTTTTGGCATCGGCTGTAATAACACTTATAACACTAATAGGTATGTTAACAGCTATTGCAAATACAACGAAATTAATGTACTTTCACTCCGTATACAGAAAATAACATTTATGGACTGATTTTAAACATATCTCAATAGGACGAGCTCATTTTAAAGCACATTGATAATTTATTTGCCAACGTAGGCATGCAATACCCCATATTAGAGACGAAGTTGGAGGACACGGCAATACCGATAGTTTATAATTTACGAACAAAAAAATCTTTTTTTTAGCTCTTTGTATTGGAAGCTGAATTATTTGCTTTAGATGTGTTAGAATGACTACGAGAAATGTGGATGTTATGTGGTGTGATGTGGAAACGTGGTACTTCTATTTCAGCATATTTCTTACACTTCATTCTTACAAGTATTCGAAATCATATTACATATAGCTGTAGAGCAATATATATATATATATATATATAAACATCAGGTGAAATATTCTGATTGCGTATAAGTACAGCTTGTCGGCTTTCTCCCGTTCTTCTCATGTCCCTCATGCTCTCTATTTGGACCATAAATATCTTGCATTTCACATCTTAAAATGTTTTCGCGCGTAATGCCTCTTGCACTCCTAACTCTATGCATGCCGTCCTGGGCTTTTCCCTCTCCTCTTGTTCTTTCTGTCGGCATCCATTGCAGGACTCGTTTTGGCCATCTTTCACCTGTCATTCGCAAAACATGACCGTACCAGACGATTTGTGTTTGCTCTATTTCGTCAAGGATAGATTTCTTTACATTAATTTTCTTTCTTATGTCGTCTTTCCTGATTCGGTCACGTCTGCTATAACTGCAACTTCTACGCCAGAAGTCCATTTCAAGGGCCAGCAGCTTCCCTTTTCCCTTTTCTTCTCTTATCAATCTCCCAAACTTCTAAACCGTATGTTGTAACTGTCTTAACTAGTGAGGAGTAAACACGTCTTTTCGTAGTGTTAGTGATGGTTTTGTTCCATAAGACAGAGTTTACACTTTGTGTCACGATTCTCCCCAAGCTTATTAGTCTCTTTCAATTTATTCTTGGCTATTTCCCTTATTGTTAAAAAGTACACCGAGGTATTTATATTTGTTCACTCCTTTCATTTTTCCTCCATTTTCCAGAAGATATTTTATCTCATTGTTACCAACTGCCTGGTATTCAGATTTGTCCATGTTAATATTAAGTCCTGCTTTTAAGAAGTGTTCATTGCGTTTACGGATCATGAAACTCAAATCGTCTGCATCTTCTGCAATTACTACCTGGTAATCGGCAAAATATAAAGTACACAATTGATCCTCTCCGATCGTCATTCCTATTACTCTGCATTGTTTCTCCCACTGCTGTAAAATTCGATGCAGATATATTTTAAAGAGTGTTGGGGAAAGACAGCACCCTGACGAAGACCTTTGCTGACTAGGAACGGATCCGAGAGCCTGCTGTAGGTCTTCATCTGAGAGGTGTTGTTCTTATATAGATTCTGTGTGGCTCCAATTACGTTTTCACTGATTTGAAGTCCATCCATTTCTTCCCATACACTAGCAAGGTACATTGTCATACGCCTTCTAAAGACCAGTATAACGCAGATGAACTTCCCTACTCTCCTTGTTCTCTTTTCTATAAGTTGTTTTAATGTAAATATATTGTCTATGACCGATCTACAGGCAGTAAAAATACATTGTTCCTCTCGTATTTTTCATTTTATCTCTTCTTCTATTTTATTTCGTATTATATTGTTACACAGTCTACCTATAGATTCAATAACTGCTATTCCTCTGTAGTTTCTTTCATTATCTCCAGATCCTTTCTTAGGGATCGGTGTTAGGTAAGACGTTCGCCACTCCTGAGGAGGATCCTCTCCATTCATTCACCTTAAAAACACGTTTTTTAGCATTTGGTGCAGTTTATAGGGACCATATTTCAGTAATTCTGCCGGTGTATCTTCCGGACCAGGTGACTTATTGGATAGTACGGAGTTGAAATCATACCGAAGAGATAATCTCTAAGAAAATATTGTCACTTCCCATTCAAAATGTTCCTTCATTAACTTCCAAAACAACAACTGAATAGATTAACACATCAATTTCAATTAATTCTACACCCTCTCAATCGGACTATAGAGATATAATACAACTGGAACCTTTACTAAGAATGCCTGCACAACCTGTGCGCATCTTCCAGAGTGCAGTGGGAAATAAAGTTATTCAATTTTTAATTCTACATGTCACGACAGGAAGTATATTCCTTCACGAAGAACACGATGAGGGGTAAGAGCCAAAATCTATCGCTAATGTTCCCTAGCATATAGTTTTTATTACATAATATTTTCTCATCAATTTAGGCAAAAACACTCATTCCTTTCCATATTCAGAATTCAACACGTACATGACTTAAGGTAGGGATCCCAGAATTAAAAAGACGCGTACAGAATATACCCTCCTCGTAGCTCGTCACGGAATCCTGAACTGTCTTTGACGTAAATAAGAGGAGAGGGGTAAATCGGAAATTTTTCGTTAAAATGGCGAACCCTTCAGAGGAATCGTGACGTAGTCGACAACCAGCTCTAAGAATTACAATAACCGTTCCTAATTTCCCGTTCTTCGCACGTTCACTCAAAGAATATTATTCCTTGGAAACAAATGATTCCAACCATGACAGTACATATTTCGTTTAAACATTTTCCCCCAAGATGTACTCTCTCTTATTCTGAGCACGTCATTTATCTATCATACAACTTTTGACCATTCCAGTTTCCGACGTTTTCAATTATTCGAGACCTCTAGTTCTCAGTTTACCTCACCATTAATTGAAGATCCAACATTTTTTAAATGAATTAGCTCGTTAACCTAGCCACATTTCTTCTGAAAGTTTAAATATCAGAAAACATGTTTTTCTGACATTTAAATTTCAATATTAGTGTTATTTAGGTTAACCCTATTATTCTGACCTCTACTTTAACTTTTCTTTTCTCCCGAACAAGTTACATATATTTTACGATGTTATTTGATTTAAAAAACAAAATATTTCCTGACAATTCTGAGTAACAGTTATTGAGTAACCGGATGTCACACGATTACACTAATGCGTCAGCGAGTGGTTAAATTTCGTAACACGGAAGGCGATAACGTCGGAAAAACATTCATTACAAATAAACAAATTCAATTAATTATTATGTATTTCAATCAGTACTAAAATGATTGTTTGGAACAACGTTAAAAAGGGTTTTGAAATCGATCAGAGTGAAAGAAATGGTACATCAAAAATAAAATAAACCTTCAAAATAAAATCATACCGATCACTAAAACGATTCCTGTACAAGTATGTTCGCCATTGTATATTCACGCTTGCATGCTATTATGAAAAAGAAATGTACACCGATGTTTTCATCTTGTTTATTACTTCATATATATTGGATAAACCGATTTTATCTGGAGAGAATAACGTGAGTAATGTATATATAAGATACATGTATATATACTGAGCTATATCTATATTATATATATAGAGGTTTATTGACATATAAATTAAATTATTAGAGTATACACATTACTTCTATAATTGAATTACTTGCAATTTATATCTATATTTATTACCATATAACTGCAATTAGATTAAAATATATCTTCTGAATAAGATTAAAATTTACCTACTTTGCACTTTTAATTCGATAGACTTCAGGCACAGTGATACAAAGGGTAAATTTAGTGCACGCATGAGATGGAGGTCTGGAAATACGTAAGTGTTTTCTAGCGCTCGCAATATACGTCATACTTTGACAAATACAAAGTGCCAGTTAAAAAAAAATAAACAGACACGACATATAAGAGTAAATCTTGGATTGTAGTAGCATTCTAAATATTTTTTACGTTACGACACACCCAATTCAGTTAATCAATTTAATCTACATTTCCCATTTACCGTCAAAACATTGAAACTATAAGTACTTGTCTTATTTTAAGAGAATATAGCAATGAAGGTACTCATGCAAGTCACGGTCAAATCTTATCACTAAAGCAAATATAATCTATAGGAGGAGTAGTCTAAAGTCAGTTAGTAGGTTCTGGAACTAGTAAATATGTTTACGGCTCTTTTGCTTATTTAGCAATAATAAATTATTTAAAATACCCCATTACAAGTTCGTAACATATTGTGTCATTCAAACACATCTCAGCGAAATGATTTTGCGCTCATGTGGAGAATGCCTGAGACAGAAATACCCCAATTGAGGTCAACTACGCTTATCAATACTTCCTGTCTCCGTAATCCGGACGTAGGCTGCAATCCATTTGCGTCACGCACGGTAACAACCCAACCCGCAGGAAGAGAGGCGATAACGAAATCAAATATTATGTTGAGTTGGGGGAGATACAGACACAGAAACAAGTTGACAGCAGCAGTAGAAATTGCCGTACAGGGGCGAAACAATACACTGGTAAGTACCACCCCATACTATCTGGGAGATTATTTTATTCACTTTTCAATTCGCTGAAGGTCGGATATATTGTTTCATATACGTTATTTTATCCTCTTCAAAGCCTTCTGATGATGCTCACAACCTGTAGAGTTATTATTCAATAACTTTAGTTTTATGTCAATGTTCTTAGTGATCGTTGTATGTTCATATCCTTAGGAATTTGTTTTAGCTTTATGATGAATGAGCAATAGTTACTTATTTGGCTTCTTATAACTGGTCTAGCAAATGACATTTTGTCGGGAAAGCATTTTGTACCAGTTAAGTCTTTAGTTACTTTTCTTGGTAGTAATAGTTCAAATCAAAGGTGTAAAAAGTGCCTAAAGCATAATAAACAGTTTCCTAGAAGGATATGAGACCACTTAACTAAAATCTGGTAAACAGAATGATTAATAAACTAAGAAGATTATTAAGCACGTTTTCACTAAATAAAGCACAACTGTAATATTTCATAAGTAAAAGCAAAATGTTTAAAATACGAAATCTGTCTAGGTTAAGAATAAGCTCAAATTCGATCAAATTGGCTGTATGATTTTCGTCAGTACAGGCTCCCTTCATGACTACTTGCTTTTTATACAAAATAGGAATGTAGTTTGTAATCCCGAACGAAGCGGCATTTTTGGCAGAAATTTAGGACGCACACGCAAATCTGATACGCAAAAGTAAATTTTTATTGCAGTTTTATGAATCTAATTGGCAAATTTTCTGAGATATTAATCATTAAATGACTACTTAGAGCACTTGTGGAATTCAAAACTGGGTGCGCTAAGAGAACTTTTTACTTGAGCTATTACAAAGGTCATTGCATTTCTTTTAAAACTGAATAACCAATTTGGAAATCATATTCCAATGCTGACCCTAATAATTACGAATTCAATATAATGACTATTTAACATACAAAAATGTAAATAAGTACTTTAGATAAAGTGAAGGAGAGACTCTTCTTTCTAGAAAATTTCAATTCATGAGAGGTCGCAGAAGATAAGTTTTCTTCAAAAAATTTCAGTATAATTTACAAGCGCCATTCCATAACATGTTCTTTAGGAACCGACATTTGGCATGACCCCATATAATCGTTAAGTATTTTTTAACAAAAAACTGGGAGAGATCTACCATGAGAAGAGCAATACATGAACTTTTCTTGAGGTCTGGAATCCCTGCCTAATTCACATACATGTTAACTCGAATTATTAATAGTACTTGCAAAGAAAGTTTTGACAACTGACATTGAGATATATTTCAATTCATCGAATACCTGTTCTGGTTTATAATTGTATTTATTCAATACAATTCATGCCAAATCAAAACACAATTATAGAATATTACATGACACTGCCTATTGTTTTCTCACTTAACACTCATTAATTTCATAAAAGAATCTCTCTTGGTCCATACATCTGCTAAAGTATAAAGCGGCAAATTAGAGCTCATATTTTCACGAGTGGAAACGCAACGTACTACTTATTCGACTTCTGTATTTAAATTTTGGTGTCGAATTCTCGAGTAAAAATAAATATTTCAAAATAAGATTTTTCAGTTCATAACGCTCACTGGTTTGAGCATTTCAATACTCACATTCAACAAACGTAACGCAAGAAAAATTGCCATACCTAAGCACCGATTCCTTCCATCGTTATTTCTTTATCAGAGTATCACAATCTACCTGGCATTCAGTGACTCCCAATCTCCTCTTCCTACTAGATTCCGTCACGCCGATAAATTATATCAGTGAGTACACGCTGATAAAACTGCGTTGGTGATTTCGTTTTCGTCTGAGCGATTCGCATTCCACATAAACAGTTCCACGTAAATCCTTTTTGTGAAAATTGCATGTATTTGGCTTGTATTGACTCTCGTATATACATATTCTTAAATATTTGTCACGGTAAATACTACGAAATGGCGTCAAGTTAGAACACAAAAGCCTGCAGTGTGGTTATTAAATTAACGTTCATATATTCAGTGATAATTTTATGAATGCTCGCTCATTTGACGAGATGGGTTCGAAAGAGATGGGAGAAACGTCTGTCAGTTGGTCTGGTAAGTAATTTTCTTAACATTGAACTATACAAGTCGCAGATTTCTATCCTCCTTGTCTATTTTACAGCATTCATCATGCTGGCGGTATTGAAGGGTTTTACTTCCGAGACATTCATCTACGGCTGCATTCTTCTGGCAACGGTGAGTGAAAAAAACAAACGTAGAGCATATTTTGAAGTGATCTGTGGAGCATTTAAGATACGCGAATCATGTGTAAACATTTCACTAACGGTATTAGTGATTTTGACCACTTTATAATTGAATCTCAAGTGTCATTACGTAAAACGGAAGTTTTTACTATACTTTAATGGTAACAAAGTACAGAAATGTTTTAACGGTGCATCTAACATGATAATTCAATTGTCACTCATCCATTTTAAAAACTGAATTAGTGATAGTAAACAACTAAAACAATTACATTACATTTCTACATTCCAATTGTCATGATTTTTTTTTTCTGTGAAGATTGTTTGATAACTGATTTTATTGAAAATTAAATTGCATTGTGACGGTCTATAGGACTATTAAAGTGGAAAGTGCCAAATATAGTGATAAGTAGAAACCAGCATAAATATTAGCACAAAAAATTGACGGATCGCGAGCATGGGAATATTTATTTATTTTATTCACCAGAGTGACAAACGAGCGAAACGTAATTGTGACGGTATAAATAAATGACAGAGAAAGATAAAGGGACAAATATAACAAATGGATTAAGTCTAAGAAACAAAAATAATGAAATTATAATTTTCAATTTGAACGTGAGATAAGTAAACGGGATAAACATGAAGTGAATACTACATTTTGAAAAATAGAATGAAAAGGGACATTTTGAAACATTTGTAAACTACGGGAATTTACGTAATTCATTTACAAACAGTGAGATACAAGCTAAAACTCGGAAAAAGAAACGTTATTCCGTAGAAATAATCCAGAGACAGGCGAAGGCGAACGTAGGCAATTGTTTTTAACAAAAAACTTGTACTGGTACAATAAAAACAAGATAACAGTATGTGTTGGAAATCGGCTGAGGTCGGATGGCATCAAATATGCCACGTCCGTTGAAAGAGTAGTTGTGAAATGTTGATTTTCACGTTGTAATGTGAGCGGCCAGTAACCATGAAGTTAAAATGGTCACTACGAAATGGGATTTAGATTTATTTTGTCAAAAACTGCATTTGACGTAAATAAACTTAATACGAATCAAAATGGAAAAGAATCAGGAAGCCCTGAAGACCTCAACAGAGAATTTTAAATTTTAGACTTTGATTTTCAGAATTGAACGGTTAATATTATAAGAAGGACGGACGGACGGCGAAATGTAATTTTATTAATGAGAAAGGACAATTTAAAACCTAACATGCTTTGGCCATTAGACAAAGAATGCGCATTAGTGCGAATGAGTTTGAAATTAGTAGAATATTATGTAAATATTTTGATTTTCTGTCTCTCTGTCCGTCCGTCTCGCCGTCCGTCCGTCTCGCCGTCCGTCCGTCTCGCCGTCCGCCCGTCTATCCATCCCTTCATCTGTCCGTCCTTCTGATGTATGTGAACAACGCTAGTTTAAAAAAATTGGTTCACATTTTGCCTTTAAATTTATTTGAAAAAAAATAGTATAAATGGAGTAATATAGAGTAATGGTGCAATATGTCCAATTTTCACTGTTAACTTAATTTTCGATAATTTCCAAATGTTAATTTTTTTCGGAGACTTCCAACAACTTTAAAATTGATTATAGGGATTTTTCTTTCAAATTAAATTTGGTGTATTTAATTAGTTCATTCTAAAATGTTATGTAATTTTTTTTAACTTTAGTATTTTTGTCAAATATTGCGTGCAATATGTGCAATTTAAAAAACAAAAAAAACTAGATTTTCTCAAAAACCGTTCCAATTTGTTTCTCCAATTTCTCGTTGGTAGGCATAGGGTTAAATGTACTCTATATTATTTCTCGCCTGACGAATTCTTCATTAGAATAAGTTGTGTAATATAAATTTCCTTCGTCTCACAAAACAAAAGATATTGCCTTCGCAATATTATACAGAGATTTTGCGCAGTTTTAATGATTGCAGTATATGTCTTAGTGGTGCATGCCGTGGTCAATGAGATATTACCACAATAAATGAGACCAAATGTTCTCACAAAAGGTGTAGGGATAGTGGACATATTTGGAAGGGGATATCAAAATTTAATTGCGCATTGGTTTGCTAAATCTGCTCCTAAACCTGAAATGATGGTGACATTGGTTTCATAATACATTATTTTTACACAACTTGTGTTCAAACATTTTTATGAGTGAATTATTTTAATGTACTTCAATTTTATTTATTTCAACAAGTTTATTTTAATTTTACCTTCTAATATCAATCCCAGATAATACACAGATAATCCCACTAATACACTGTTATTTAAATAGTTTCTGCCATCCCCATACCTCTGTGGGTTTCGAGAGACTTTCTAGAGGCGTGCACAGCTGAATGAAAGAGTTGGAGCTTTCACTTTAGACAAAAGAGGGAGATTTTCCTCACTCACCCCTCCCCAAGGAGGCCTGGCGTGCCAGAACTCGGCCCCCTTCTAATCTTCGCGATCACCGACAAGGTGGCCGTGGCCAGGGCTGCACCCCGACCCTCCTGCCAGTCGAAGGCGAGGTTGCGGCGAAGACGATGGCAGCGGCGCGGGTGAGTGCATAGGCTTTCTCGCGCGAGGCGCACGGAAATGTGCCGTCGATCCTTCACTACTTGTGCAGGTTTTCTTGAGCTCAGCGAGATATTAGCGGGGAGACTACGAGATTATAGTAGTTGTTTGAAAGACACATCATAATGTGTGTAATAAGTATAAAGTGTGTAAACACGTTATAGCGAATGTTTACATTTACAGCATTACCAAATATATTTGCAAAAAGTAGAAAATAATGCATGTAAGGTTCAATATAATAATTTGACCACATACATGGTATTCACCATTGAAACGTTTTTTATAAATTCATTTAAACGGAAATTGTCGTACAATACTTTAATTTCACGATCCGAAAGAACAATTGTTTATTTCCTTTAGGATTTTCCATTAAGGAAAATACCTGATTTTAATTTTCTGATTGAACTGTGCTTCACAATTGTTTTTCTTATAGAAGATAGTCGCCGACTTCTTTTGCTGTTCGTTTGAACATGGACAAGCAAACCCGAGAAGGTTTTGCAAAAAGCATTGAAAAGAGTGTTTGAGCCCCTATATACTCCGACGTTAGGTCCATAATTGGTAAAGTTCCACTCGTAATGATCGACGGAATGACACTACCTTTTTTAGCTAATGTTTTTACCCAATATCCATCTTTAGCCCTTATCTGAAAGAAATAATGTGAATTTTTGGAGAAAATGTTTCAAGGTACGCTTTGTAATAATTTCATCACATTTTGCCAGCCCTTTTCAATTACATAAAAACATGGAAAATCGTTTTGGGGGGTAAAAATGAATAACATGTTGGTGACCTGCATATTTTACTTCAAGCATCGATATGAATAGTGATGAACACTAATGTTACACTTCAAAAGGTGATTTGAAAAAAATAAAACGTTTACCTCCTTTTGAACTACCAAGTAATTATCAAAACTTCCAATCCTATATCACAACTGAAAATTCGAAAATATATGTTTAATAGTTAACTGAAAGCGCCCATCTAATATAATAAATCAAAACTTTCAAAGAATTTTTAAATTAGAAAATTCATCATCGAAAAGCCAAAACATTCTCTCCCTTTGCATTATTTAAACACTGATCGCTTAAAATTGAATCACCCGATCCTCCTTTCGCGAACGTTCATCTTTATATTATCTTTTTTGGATTTAGATCGGCACTGTGCTCGACAATCTGTGGTACGGCTCCCCGACTTCGTTCTGCCAAACTATCCGCACGGATCAAGGAACTGAGACTGTTTGCGAGGAACTGCCTTTCGCAGGTGGTTGGAGTCCAGTGCGAGGTGAGTACTTTGATAAAAATCATATAGTATGTGAATTATGTCGCCTGGTTTTAAAATTTGCTATTCACAAGTTGCGTTATGTAACAGTAAGTATTTTTCCTTATACATACGTACTTACAGAGTAATATACGAAGTAATTTACGTAGTATATTGTGTTTAATATGTGCAATTTAAAAAAATAACAAGATTTTCTCAAAAACGGCTCCAAATTTTGTCTTTAAACGTTTGGTAGTGGTAGTGCTAAAAGCACTGTCTAAGATGTCATAAACTGCGTATTGCTCTATTATGTTTTGAATTATAAAAATGTAAGTTTTATGAAATATCTCTCACGCCTTTAATATGCACATTCCGAGCAATTTGTATACACTATTTTATTTTGGACTTGAAGTTCTTGAAATGACTTCATACAAAGATTTTCGAAATCTCAATAGTTTTCTGTGAAAAAAGGTTCAAATTTCGCATTTTCAGTAACACTAAATCACCATTTTCTTAAAAACTGCTCCAAATTTTACAATGAAAATTACCATTGTGTACGAGGTTTTACTCTTCTTTAATATTCTAGAAGTAAGAATCCTGTTCTATTATTAGAAAACCGAAAAAATGAGAAATTACAAAAAATGTTTGGGCAGCGATATATGGCAGCTAGTAAGAGGATGGGGCAAGTCAGAATAGATAGCCCAGACGAAAGAAAATTCATACGAGAACGTCTGTACCATTCTGTTACACCTCTAGTTTACTATTTGCTTAATTTCTAATCATTGTACCGTATTTAAGTAAAACTCTGTGTGTGCGGATGTGCGTGTATGCGGTTCAGTCACTCGCGGCTAGACCGCTTCCCGTGCACCAATAGAGGCGTACGAGATGTCATTCGACGCGTCTAGTTGTCCTGATGGGGAATTGATCATTTGTTTTCGGATCCGGCTAAAAATTCAAAGAAATTTCCAAAAACGTGTTTTTTTCGTGTTTTGGCGCGAGGCAATCTTAGTGATAGTGCCTGGAATTAAATCCATCTCTGTTGGCAGCGTTAATTACACTGCAATACCCAAAGACATTTTTCACTCAATACGCTGTAATTTTCTTTTATGACGTAGCCAACATTGATGCATGGTCACAACACATCAATGACATTAAGCGAACAATTGAATTATCAAGTAAATCGCACTGCAGATTGATTTGAATTTATATTCGAATTATCGTAATTAAAAAATAAATTTGAGAAACCCGATTAAAAGTATTGCTTCGTAACTTATTAAACTTGAATGGTTTCAAGAGAAAATACGGAGAAAAAAATACTGTGAGTAATGCTGAAGAACGATTGAACGTTCTTAGTTCTTAGTGACTTCGCACTTTTACGTTTTACAAATGCAAATACCGATTTTTAAATGAATGTGATCCACAACTTATTCTCATTAAACTTAACTGACACCTTATTCACATAAACATACAAAGCAGTCCCCTTTTAATGTTAGATTTCCATGCAACGCTACATTCGCATACCAAACTAATTGTTGAAATAGAAGTGAACGCAAATTAGATTGAGTTTGTTAAGTTTTAATTTCACCTAAAATTAGGTAAGAAAAATAAGGAATTGTTAAGGAAATATGGCGAAGAATCAATAGTTGTGAAAGATGTTGCGACAGAATTTTCGGAATTAATTGGGAATTATCTACTTATACGAAGCATTTATGCTACTGCAAATGTGCAAATGTACATTTTTGTGCATATTAGCAAAAAAGCGTAAAAATGTAGCTGTGCTGAAATTTAACTATTAGCATCCTCAAAACCTGCAAGTATTTGTTACGGCGATTACATAATTTTGAACTTGCAATAAGACCAGTTCATATCCCGTATGGATGTAACATTCAAGGCCATTACGCGTTTTTGAACGGGAGTATAACATTATCAGCAACTACGATTCATTAGTAAGTCCAATGCCAGATACTGAAAGAACATATTTTCTCAAAGCTGGGCATGAAAGAAATTAAGTATGAAAGAAATTTTGAAATGCTAAGAAATTAAACTATTTTTAAAACAGTTAACAGCGCGGGGATGTCATATTTTACTAGTATAAATTAATTGAAATTTCTTATCGTACCTGACGTTTTACTAATATTTATGCTGGTGGTATTTTAGAAGGTTCTAAGTTAGAAATAGTACTACAAGATTCATCTGTAATTTCCTAGAGTTCTTGAAAGGGGTTAACAGTGGGAATATTTTATACCGCTGGAGAATCTTTCGAACTAGCACTTCCTTCACTGAACATGCCTCGTTTATATATTGAACTATTATAATCGCTTAAATGATAACTTTCACTTGGATGGGGTGCACTATTTTGAGTAGGGTTTTGTAACTCACTTAGAACGTCCATTGGACTGTTTGGAGTATGGGAAGAATTTTGTTGAATTATCCGTTGAAGTTCCTGCGACTGTTGTCGTAGAAGTAATACTTTCATTATTCTCATCTTATTAAAACATTTTATTAGCATACAACCATATTCAATCTCACCTTCACACTCTCACCAGCTGGTTTCACAAATGGCGGCTCAAAATAAATCCCACAAAAACACAAAGATATTGACCCCCAGAAAACCTCAAAATCCCCACCTCTAAAACTAAATAGCTCCCAACTCCCCTGGTCAAACAATTCCATACCCATAAAATATCTGGAAGTAATAGACGCTTAACACGGAAGCAACACATTAAGTCAGTCATACAAAAAGTAACAGCAAAAGCTGTCAAACTATATCCATTCATAAATTCTGCATCCTCTTTAAAAGTTGAAATTAAGTGCTTCTCTACAAGAGTATCATTAGATCCTCATTGACATACGTCTGTCCAGCCTGGATAGACGTTGCTTCTAGTAATATAAACTTGTTACAAACATTCCAAAATAAATTTCTCCGAAAACTCATTAAAGCATCATGGTTTATATCTAATAGACAAATTCATTATAAACTCCAAATATCTTTAATAACATTCCTGTTTTATCCTAAAAATTCTTCACTCTCTTACCATCCTGCCCAAATATCTCCCATTTTCAACTAGGACAACAAGCAAACACCCCAAACAGAATTAAATCCAGATTTCCAAAGACATTTTCAAACCTCCTTAAAAAATCAAAACTTCTCTAAAAGCTTCCAAATTCTTGTAAAACTACCAACTCTACCTCTTCCCTAAATCATTAACCAACATTATTATAATATAAATAAAAATATTGTATATAACTTGCCAAGTAAGAATACTTGAAATAATATTAGATAGTTTTCCATTACGTTAATGTAAATATGTTATTCTCATTTCTGTAAGGCCATTTGGTCGATCGAATAAAATAAATTTAAAAAAACAGTACTTCATGTTTCAAGGCTTGAAATTTTAGCTTCTGGAGATGTGAGTGCGTCGGAATAAGTATTAAGATTTTGAACCATGTTTAAATTTAAGTCGTTGCAGTTTGAAATAGGAACGCAATGGTGAGCGGTTAAAACGCAGACGAGACGGCCACGGGTAACGGTGCTGGGAGTTCCATCTTGGGAGACCCAAGATTCATCACTCCGAATAATACAAAGGATTGACAATTTACCTTGTACTCTGGCAAATACTGACAGCACTCAGCAGTAGGTGGTACACAACCCATCCCACACTCCCCACTTACAACACACACGATTGTTTAGCGTCCACTACACTCGGAAACCACACTGGTTATAGAACTGGAACTGATTACGGCAGAAGAGCTCGACCTCAGACGTCGGGTCAGCTAGGCGTCACAGACCGAACTGGGAATTCCCGGGTCCTGATAATGAAAAAGTAGATTAATTCACTTGCTTAATTTAGAAAAAAAACTCTCAGAATCCATGTTTTCTGGTCCTTGATACCAAAAAAATCGATTGACGGCAAAATGACGGAGCGATGTATAAGAATAACACGCGCCTAAACTATGCGTGACTATGATTTTTTTAAAGATTTTTTTTTGACGTAAACTAAGATTTTTTTTCAAATTAAAGACACCACTGTCGATCTGGCCTGAGTCAAAGCTCTGCAATTTTGAAAAACATTAATTTATTTTGGAGGTACTTCAGAGAGAAGCCTTGGGACATATTCAAAATTTAGTAAAAAATGACTTCACATTTTTTCTTTAAATTTATTATACGAATAGGGTAAAATGCACTTATAAAGGTGACGTCAGTCCGATTTTCACTATTAACTTTGAATTTTGGACAATTGTAAGACTGATTTTTTTCTGCTGATTCCTACAACTACAAAATTGAAGAGAACTTTCATTCAAATAAAAATTGTTTCCAAGAATTAGTTCTTTCGTTATGGTCATGTCAAATTTTTGGAACATTTTATTTTTCCCACAATATTGAATGACTTGGTACGGATAGTGCTAAATGTACTGCATAAGATGACAAACGCAATTTTGCTGTATTGTTTAGGGTTTCAAAAATTACAAAAATGTACTTTCTTTTGACTTGTCTCTCACATCGTTAACGTCGTTTTACATTAGCGGTGATATGTTCACAATGTTGCATTTATGAGCACATGCGCTTTAAATCATATCTTATAAAGTTTCTCAAAAATTCAAGCTTTCTGTGGAAATGAGCCCCGAATTCCGCATTTTCAGAAGCGCTCAAACGCCATTTTCTTAAAAACAGCTAGAATTTTTTCTCCAAACTTTTTGTACCGATAGTGCACTTTTTCAGTCACGTGTAATCCTAAAGACACAAAAGGCATTTTGCTGTATTCTCTTATTTTTCAAAAAATACGCAAATATATTTTGTTTAAATGCCTCTCACTTCGTTAATATGCCCACTTCCAAATATAATTGCATTTGTAAATATAATTGCATTTGTGACTAGGAGTGCTTCAAATGAATTCCACTGAGGTATTTCAAAAACTCAAAAATTTTCTGCGTAAAGGAGCTTCAAATTTCTCATTTACAAGAACGCTTAAAAGACTTTCTTAAAAACGGTTTCAAACTGTGAACGAAAATTTCCCCGTGGGGTG